ACCCAGAAGGAAGCTGAGGAGGGGAGGTGGGGGACTCCAGGGCCTGAGTGGTATTCAGGGTTTTGCTCCAAATCGCTTCGTATGTCTCCCAGATCTCTCCACAAGAGAAGGGTTGAATAGGAGATGGCAATTCATTCATCCTGGCTATGGCAGAAAACATTTCTATCTGGTAATTCTCCCTTCCTCTGTTCCTCTAGCAATATACAATCCAAACAGGACTGAACAGAAAGGAGAAAATTAGAGATTAAAATCATTCCAATAACAGTGAATGACAGTTAATTTTCCAGGCTGTAGCTTTGTATCTAGGACAACAAAAACAATCTCCTTTCTCACAATGTCTCTGAGATATGGAGATTAAAGTCAAAAGTATTGCTGGCTATTACAACTTGTAAATCACTAAAATGTCTAAATATGCCTTGACAATGATTGTTCCCCATGAGGTTCAGGAAAGAAAAACAAATATTCATTCTTATTAGCTAGACTTGTATAAACAGAACCTCTACCTAACTGGGGCGGCACACAATGAAAGGCGGGAGACCGGAGGACACCGTTTCCTTTCTTACGCCAAAACTTCCATCCCACCATCATTTGGCCTTAACAAGGGCAGCATGCGGAAGTGTTGAGAATCCCAGAATGCATCTTGGAGATGAATACAGAGAAGTGCAAGGCCCAAGGGCCTCTGGGTGAAGCTGCTTGCCTGCTTTTAAAGGTGACCTTGTGACACAGTGATCCTCCTCACTGTTCATGTGGTCAGTGAACATCTGGACGTAGGCTCAACAGGTCAATGTGCCCTCTCCTCAGGAAAGGGGAAGAAAGGACAGAGCTAGCCCTTATCTCCCTAGAGATGTCTCCCGGGATGCCTGCAACCAGGAAAATGCCATTGGATTTCAGCCAACAAGCTTTCATCAGATGTGATCCCTGGGTTGACGAGGCCGTCCTCGGAGCATGGGGAAACTACACAGAGGGGGAATATTATGGATGTTATCCCACAATTGGGGGTTGTGAAAAAAGCAGCATATAATTTCTGCCCTGTAATTTGCCTCCTTGTATTTTCTCCTGCCTGAACAGCTGAGTCTTAAGGGAGCAGCTCACCAACTTCGAAGTCAAGTCCCATGGCTTAAGGCTGCATATCCCTTCATTCCAGGGAAGTCTGCACAGCTGTAACAAAATCCCTGAGGCAGGGAGTTCTTTTCTATTTTTCAACTTACACAGTGTTCTTTAAACAGATCATGAAGGAAGAAGAGCTCTTGAAACCTAACAGACAAAAGCCCAGTTTATAGATGAGAAAGTTGAGGCTCAGGAAGGCTGACTTCTCTGAGCTCAGTGCTAGATCCCTCAATCACAAGTAACCTACTTGCAACAGCACTGTGCACCAATGTGTACAAACTGTGTGCATGTATTTCACAAATGTTAAACAGCATAATAAACGTCACATGCACTTTTAATAGAGCAGAGTGTTATCTTCATTACATCAGAGGTGCCTAAGAAAAACAAGTTGTAGAACAGCATGTCTGCTTTAATCTCATTTCTGCTACTCTTTCCTTAATTAAAATAGCCCTCTGTAGCTGCGTCTGGGTGGCTGTGTGCAGAAATAGCCACAGGCTCCTTGCTCCTTTTGGTGTGCATAGAAAAGATCAAGCATTGGGCCACCAAATGGTTAACAATGGACTCTCCCATGGGTGGGAAACTTTCATTCTTCATTTATTTGGCATTGCTACATGTTTTGCAATGAGTGTGTGCTGCTTTTGTAATTTAAAAACAGTGGGCAAGAAATTACTGTATTTGCCGTTTACTAAACCAGAGAGACAAGTCAGACAGATGTGGGTGCCTCTGTCTGCGCCAGCTGGTCTCATCCTCTCCAGGGCTCTACGACATGGGACCCTCACGCTACCCCAGGTGAGGGCAGCAAGGCTTTCAGAGGACACCCAGCTATTAAGAGCAGTGTCTGAATGCAGGACTGGCAGATGTGCAGATGTACTCACAGGAACCCAAAAGAGTCACTTCTTTACAGCTACACTCCACAGAGCAAAGGGAGTGCTCTGCTCACCGTGATGCCAGCTGCTTCAAAGCAGAGCAAAGGCTGCTGGCTGCTGTGCTGTGGAATCAAGGCTTGTCTGCAGCCTGTCCTGAGGCTCCCTGGCCACATCCCCTGGCCTGGCCAGGCCTGGCCCCCATGCTCCTCCATCCTCACCATTCTTGGCAATGATGCCTCCATGTGTGAATTCCATTAAAGGCTTGCTCACTGCTATTTTGGGCCATGCATTAGCATGTGGGTTTTGATTTGATGGGAGAAGGTCAGACATCTCAGAACAATGAAAAAATTAAAACACCCCCACGCGTACACCAGAGCCCCAGAAATCTTTATGTCTATTGCTCCTGGAAGAACTGAGAATCCAGGACGTGGAGAAATGGGAGGCAGAGGTGGAAAGGCATAGATATCTTCATGATCTGTGGCCTCTGAACTTGGCCGTTCCCTCCTCTTGGCAGGGTCCCTCTCATTGGTCCACATCGCTTGTTCCTTCAGGTCTCAACATAAATACTGAACCAACAAGCTTCCCTGGCCACCACTCACCAACCACGGCCCCCTTGTCCCTGTTCTGCCTGAGCCTTCACTGCATTTGTCATCTGACAAGCTGTACACCCACTTGCTTGCTGACTGTTCCCTGGGACCTGAATGTAAGAACCCTAAAGGAAAACACTGTTTTCCTCACAGCTTTATTCCTAATACCTGCACTGGGGCCTGGCACGTTACAGACGCACAGGAGAAAAGAACGAATGAGTCGCCTGAGGAGGTTAAGAACCGGAGACTGAGAAATCACACGGCTGAGTCTAGGGCCCCCTCCCCCCCGGGGTATCACCGGATTACAGAAACTTCAGTACTACGACTTGAAAGATCAGAAAAGCATCGCCTCCACGCCAAAGCTGTGTTGGATCGGAGGTCACACACAGCATGAATGAGAGGCCTCTGGGAAATAAACACACTAGGAAGTTGTGTGCAGTTAGAGTTCCGCTCACTGACACTTGTCCAAAAACAAAAAAGTTCAACTTGGATGAAAATAGCAGGAAGCTGTCCTCCAGGGACACCTGGTGAGGTCATATTGCTTGGCTCTGTTGCTTCCATTTTTGTCAGGCCTCCTGCCTTCTGCTGACTCAAGCAGGCCAGGAACCACATGCAGCTGTGCTCGGCGCCCTGTAAAACAAGAAGGCTGTTCCCGCAGTCCCACCAGGCAGAGGGCAATAAAAATCACAGAATAGTTGACCATTCACCTTGTGTCCAGCAAGCCCTTCATTCACAGTCCTTCACCTGGGCCTCACAACTCCAGACCTAACCCATGAACACAAATGATCCCAGTCTCTCTTCTCTGGCTTTCTTGCTGTGTGACCTTACATAAGTGCCGATCCCTCTCCAAGTCAGTTTCTATATCTATGCATAAGACTATTGCATTCAGTGTTTCCTAAGGCATCTTCCTACTATAACATCCTATGAGCTCTCACAAAAGTTCCAAAACAGGATGAAAGGACAGGAGCTCAAGGTCTGAGATCAATTTCTGAGGATGTGCCCCTAATTACACTGCCATCATCACCTGACTAGAAGAGGCTTAAAGCCCAGACAGATGTCCCATCCAAGGCACAGTAGGTCAAATTAGACACAGGCGGCAACAGGGAACATTCAGCTCAAGGTGGGGATGCTAAAGCAGGATCCTTAGGGGAGCTGTCAAGTGCAGATCTCCTAAGGACCACAGGAAGACACCCCAATGAAGAAGCCAGCACAAGGAAGACCTGCACCCTCTGAGGACATGGCCAGCCAGGTTGGTTCTAGGAAAATGGAAAGAAACATTTCAGTAAGCAGGAAAAGGTGGGTCTCATGCCAGAGGAGAGCAGCAAATGACAGGAATGCTCATCTTTTTGACTTCTGAAGGCTGCCATACACTGTACCAGCAAGAGAGGAAAGATACAAACAAAGCTCCCTGCATGCAGCAGCGCCTGAGCTACACTGTAACCACAGAAGGGACACTACTCATCCTCCTTTGCAAGTATGCGAAAAACCCAAATTTGGAATAAATTACAGCCTCCCTGTTCGCCCAAGCCAAGCAGCCATTCTCACCCCTCTGGACATGGGAAGGCCCTGCTCCGTCCCCTTCCTGGCAGCAATGTATCTGATTACTCATCGGCTTCCAGGGGTTTTAGAGACTGCCAAGAGGCGACAGGCAGCTCTCCAAACCATGCACCCTTATCTGTGACATCTCTGTGGGAGACAAAAGTGGAACTATTGGTAGAGTCCCTCGGCCAGGCAAGAAGAGCTCATCAGTCAGACAACCAGGAATGGCTGAAGAATAAGCAACAAACATAGCCCTGCACTGTGCAGACCTGCCTCCCTAATGACCTGAGTCAAGGCACAGCTACACCCGGCAGCAAATCAGTGTGGAGGTTTCTCTGAGCCAGACTCTTGCCCAAGGTTTGGGAGGTTAAGAAGCTGGAGGAGCTGGGCCCACTGAAGCCAGGAGACAGCTAACAATGCCCTTCGTGGCAAAATCCTGGATTTAGTTAACCACGGATAGATGGAACAATTAGGATTTGAGGTATCAAGTCCCAGTACCCTCCACTTGCCTCCCTCCTGACTGCTGTTTTCCTCTAATTGCTTTTACTTCCTGCCTTGTGCTGGAAGCAGTAAACCAGCTGCTTCCCCAACTGACTTATACACACACACACACACACACACACACACACACACACACACCCGTGTGCTGCTGTGAACTTCCAGAGGTACCGGAAATGCAGCCCTAGGAAACTTAAGCAAGATGTTAAGCAGTCCAGTAACTTTACAGCAAATAAGAGACTGTGGAAAAACTCCCTTTGCAGGATACGCCCCCAAAGGGACCAAGGATTGAGAGCTTGGAATCACTCCATTGAACGCTTCATTCCAAACAGCAACACCTGCTTGTGTCCAGCACTGACATCGAAGTTAACCATTTTTGTCTCAGGCGAAAGAATCCACTTACTCATTCTTCTCGAGGTCCAGGATCAGTTCTTGCCCCTCCGCCGTTACCCTGAGCTCAGCTTTGATGGGATGCTAAAAGCAACAACAAAAGAAAGTCAGTTCCTTAAAAGCAGGGACGGAGGATCCCAGGGACAGGCATGGGGTCTAGCAGGGTGCTTGCTCAGGGACTCACAGGAAGGAAGCAAGAAAAGGTCAATTGCCTTTCCAGTCCCAGAATCGGCCAAATCCTTCCCCCAGCTGCTTTCTCCTGAGAAGCAGAGCGGAGGAGCTCCAGGCTGAGATGCAGTGGAAATGCAGACCTGAAGTCTGCCAAAGCGAAACACAGGAAGATGTGGTTTCCAACAGTAAGTTTCCCAGGAGTCAGACCTGGGTTCCGGGGCCAGCTCTGACACCTGCGCTTTGTGAGCCTGGATGTGATACCAACCCTTACTACGTCTCCATTTCATCTTCTATAATAAAAAGATAATAGTAATAACCTTATGAGGGTTTCACAAGGATTAAATGAGATAATGAATGTACACACTGTAGCACTCACACCCTCAGTGTGGCTCTCCCTTGATAGCAGAATTTTATTTTATATCCACCTTCAGCTTGGAAACCCCAATCAGCCCAGAGGTGGCAACAGAAAAGCATCTCAAATTGAGGTTTTAAAAACCCCAAACTAGCTGTATTTTACACATGAGCAGCTCACTAGTAGCCATACGTGCTACCCTCCATAGTAGAACATTTAAGATAAACAAAATGGCCAACAAATGAAAAATATGTTCAATATCTTGGTAAATTATACAGCTCACCCTCCCCAAAACAACCACATTAAAAAAGATACCTTAAACACACAGTGACAAAGCTTATTTAAAACCACAAATCATAATGCAATGGAGCATGCTGTAAAATGGGCATCCTCCCCCTACCACTGATAATATAAATTGATACCAATACTCTGAAAACTACTTCTGACAATATAAAGCAGGAGTTTTTAAATGTTTAGACCATTTGACTCAAGACTGTCTGGAAAAGAGCCAGAGATATAGCTCAGTGGGGCAGTGCCTGCCTGGCAAGTACAAGGTCCTGAGTTCGATTCTCAGTACCCAAACAAAACAAAACAAAAAAAAATACTGTCTGAAGGGAACTAAAAGCACAGGCAGAGATTTATATATAGAAGCTATTACTTATAATAATGAAACAAAACCTAAAAACCCAAAAAGAAAGAATGATTTTTTTGGTACAAGCACATTTATTTCATAGGCTTAAAGTTTCCACTAGAAGGAGGGTTCTGAGTAGGATCCCCATGAGAGCTCTTTGTCTGGTTTTGTTTCGTTTTGTTTTTTGAGGCAAGTCTCACTAAGTAGCCCAAGCTGGCCTTGAACATCCCACCTCAGCCTCCTGAGTGCCAGGATTAAGGGTATGTGCCACCACGCGAAAACAATGATTAATATCACGGATTTATATGATTTACTAGACAGTCATTAAAAACAGTGACTTAAATTTTTAAATGATCGAGAAAGTAGATGCAGAAAGCAGCAGATCAGCTGGGCGTGGTGGCGCACACCTGTCATCTCAGTACTCAGGAAGCCAAGGCGGGAGGATTGTTGTAAGTTCGAGGCCAGCCTGGACTAACAGTGAGTTCATGGCCAGCCTGAATTACATGACAAGACTCTCCATCAAAATAACTAAATAGATAAATAAATATTAGATAATTAAGGCTCAAACTGTAACACTGTGTGTTTTATTTAAAGGGAAAAACGTATAGAGAAATAAATCTCAAAAGTTACAAAGTTTTTCTAGGTAATAGGAATATAAATTTTCTTTCACACATCTCTATATTTTTATAATTTTTTTTCATTTATGAAAATGACTTTTATCTCTTTTTACTTTACTATTGTGGATAATTTTAAATAATTTTTTTTTGTCTTTTTGAGACAGTGTTTTACTATGCAGTTCAGGCTGGCCTTGAAGCCCAAACTGACCTTAAACTCACAGCGAAACTCCTGCCTCAGCCTCCCAAATGCTGGGATTACAGGCATAAGCCACCATGCCCAGCTGTCAAATTTAAAAGCCAATTGGTAATGGGCCTGCACACTTTGGTAATTCAAGTTAAAGCTGCCAAACTTCTCTGAAAGGAAGAAATCATTTACCTTAGAACGTTTACAAATTTACAATTTAAAACAGCACAGATTTTTCGGTGTGTATTAAATATAATTTCTCTAACTGGAAACCACGGAGCTGATAAATTCTTAAAACCTTTTCAATCCACAGAAGTCCTTGCTAGGATGGAGCATCTACTATTGTTAACACCAACTTCAAAGCTCACCAGTAGCTGGCTCTGACCAGTCTGGGAAGGGAGGGTCGCCTGCTTTGCCGCCTCTGGCCAGGGCTGCCTTTTCTAAGCACACGCCTACGTACTCATCCGGGCCTGTACATCCCTAAGACTTTCGGGCACCCAAGGGTGCTGATGAGATCTGAAGATCTGAGCATTCCAGCCAAGAGCCCTTGGCTGCCTGCTCCCCAAATGCCTTGTTCCCCAGCTTTAAGAAGGCACATTTCACAGCCACGATAGAGAAGCTGGGTGAGATGCATCCCCAGTCACTTCCACCAAGAGATGCGTTTTTAGTTTCTGGTGCCCTGATTTAGCTCTGCCAACACCTGTTCTCATCATGTGGCCTTTTATTCTAGGAAGTTCTGGAGCCGGTGCCTTGTCCAATGACACTTTGCACCAGGGACACAGCCCCCAGGGGCATCTGAGAAGGAAGGCAGAGCCAGGCTGCAGCAATGCTCTCCCTGAGAGGCTGGCAGCCAGTGACGGCCCATGTATCACAGCAGTCACCTCTCCCCTGCATGGACACAGCTGCAACAGGAATACTAATACTACATTTTACGTGAGCAATCCAAAGATAATTCTCTCTGTTCTGGAAGATGGTCAGACTCTTAATACTTAAAGTAAGACATTCTTGGCTTCCAGATAACAAAACAAGTAAAAAATTAAATTGCATTTTAAGGGTCTACAAGCTCCTCTGGTGAGCTCTACTTAGCAGCTTTCGCTCCTAACTCCAAATCTGGCCTAAGAAGGGGTAACTCACTCTTCACTGCCCCCTGGAAAGGGAGAAAAGTCCTTTCTCTCTACGACTAGATTAAATAAATAGTGCCACAGGTTACTGGAAATCTGTCCTGTATCTTTGCATCCCCTTAAAGTCTAACATTTAATGTACTGTGTTTAATTCACATTTAATAAATGAATTAATTACATAAGTGAGAAAAGTGACCCTGGAGAACCCCAGCTCCCTCGCTCTCTGTCCCTCTCCTCTCTCTATCACTCATTCAGCAAATATCCATGGTGCCAGGCACTGTGCTGAATATCTATCTCTACAGAATACAATGACCCATGCTCTGAGCAGACAATTGTTAGGAACAAAGACAGGATCTAGTCCTCTGCTTTGTTTCTCAGGTCCTTCCTGAGGATGCCGGGCATCCCACATCTGGAGGGAACAAAGAAGCCTCTATAAAAAGTATCAGATCCATTCCTCAGGCAATAGTGGCAAATCGAAATATCCAAGACCTGAATTTTTAAAAATAATCTGCTCTAGGATGGCCATCTATTAATCTGTCTGGACTTTTCCTGAAGCTATTTTCAGTCCTTCCTTGATAAAATGAGTTCCACACATGCACTGCTTTCACATGAAAACCGTCCTTGCTTTCTTTGCCCTGCAATTTTCTCTGTATGTTCTCTTAGTAAATCCAAGTTGAGGTATTAGGGGATTTGTCTGCATTACTCTTATCTGAAAGAATTCTGGGCATGTCTCCTTCCCATTCATCTTTCCAGGCTCAATGTGCACACTATCTAAAGCCTCTCGTGACGTATCTCCTGCCGCAATCTTGCTCCTGTATGTATCTGATAAATCACAGGCCATTTGAACCCAAAGAGACCTTTGAAACCAGCCCCTCTCCATAGCTCTCTTCATCTTTATTCCCTCTAAGATCCATTTTATAAATGAATTTTTAAAACTCCAGTTATTTGGAAAGTGGAAGGTCACATCGCATGCCAACAATCACTTCTCCTTTGCTAGCCTCATTTGAACAGCAAAAACAAGAACTAGAAAAAATATCCCAGTCACGCACAGTTCTTTACTACAAGAACAGAAGAATGTTTTCAGTCTTGTTCCTTGGTAAAGCTTGTGCATTTTTCGGGTGCTGTGGCCCAAGGAGTCTATAGGATTTTATGATATATTAAAAATAGTTTAGATTATCCTTTTTCTCTCCAAATACATTATCCCATCAATAAAACAAGGCATGCATAGAGTACAGCAGGAACAGCAAACACAATATTTAATAAACCCCTATCAAAAGTGATTTGTGTGACATCATCACATTTGTAATTAGTTTAAGTCAGGATTCATGCGCATTTTTATTTGCTCAACCAATAGCATTTGGCAATGTTACAGATGTTCATCACACACCAAAGGAAAGCCTCACGTGAGGTATCTGAAACCAACCAAAGTGGACAGAGCCAGAAACAGAACTAGTGGTCAGCCGGGCCTCTGGAAGAGCCATGAAAGGGAGACCCAAGCCTCCTAGACTCAAGTTTTCACTCTGGCCTCTGATAAGCAGAGCTTGAATCTTACCTTTTCATTCACGGGGCTTTCTGAAGTCTTCCACTGAGGTATTATGAGTTCATGCTGTGGCCAGAGGCTGCCTTCCTCACTTCCTCCTGCCAATACAAAACAAGTATCATGGTAATCTCAGACTTCCACATCCCAGCCAAGCTATGTGCAAACCTCCTGCACAGCCACTGTCACCCAGAAGGAACTGCCCATGGGATCGTCCCCTGACCTGCTCATTTGCAGGTGCTTGGTGTGTGCTCCAGGCCACTAACACACATGCTTCCAGGCGTTAGTGAGAGACTGTAAGTGCACAGGCAAGGTCTCTGTGCGTGCTAAGTACACCTTCAGAGGTGAGAAACAGAAAATCAACAGACATTCTCTGGTGGTGCTAAATGCCCTGAAAAAAAGTAAGACAGGACCATAGTAAGAGGCAGACACTGACTATTTTGAACCAAGATGATCAGCAAAGATGACACATAATTAAGACCTAAGAGTCCAGCAGAAGGCACCATGCAAAGACCTGGGGAAGAGACGCCAGGCGCAATGCTGAGAAATGAACTTGGCTTTATGAATAAGCAGAACACAGAGCTTGCTAGAATCAGCTAAGTGAGCGAGAAAGACCGTAAGAAATGTAGACACCAAGTCAGCTCTGGGTCTGATAATGCAGAGGCCATGGAAAGTATCTGGATTTTATTATAAATAGACCTGGAAGGCATTGGACGTCTAAATGCAGAGTAATATGATCTGTATCAGGTTTAGTGGAGAATGGGGGAGGGTGGGAAGAAACAGCAGAGAGCAGGAAGGCAAGGCTGCAAAGGTGCAGGAGCCCCGATGAGATAGGACAGTGGCTCAGACTGGGATGACATCAGCAGAGAGGAATGAAGTAGTGGGATCCTGGGTATACTCTAGAGGGTCAGCTCCTGGTGAGCTTCAGCTTCTCACTGAAGATAATGACATTCACCTGCCCGTCTCACAAAGCTATTGAAGAGTAATATGAAATTGCTCTCTAATCCTCAAGGCAATGTTACATTAACATGAGGTTCTTAATGACAATTGTGCATTTGTGTTTCGCTTGCCATTCTCCAAACCACTCTCACCATCCAGATCTGCTTTATTCCCCTGACAACCTGGGAAATAGCTAGTGTAGCCTTTCGCCTGTGCAAGAAAGGGGATTAAAACCACAAAAGAGACTTATTCAAGGCACTGCAGACTTCACACACTGGCTGTAGACCATCTTACTAAAACAAGAACTTCCTAAAACCAAAGCAAATCGGTCTCCACAAGAATTGGCCAAAGCCAAAGGGCTGGAGCCGAGGAGTCCAAATTCTATCATTTCAAAACCAAGCACATCAATCGCATACAATGTAGTAAGTGATATAAAAGATGACCGTAGTTGTTCTGTTAGAATGTTATGATTATGCCTGGTTACTAACTTTCCTTTTAGATAACCGACACAGGTATTTACAATCAACATATATCCTAAAAACATTCTCATTAGACTAACACTCGTTAAGTTGGGAAAAATCAAAAGCAATGCATTTATTTATCTCCAAATGTTTTCCAGGTTTTCTATGCACCAAGTACCACACTAGGAGCTTAATATCTATGAGGGAACAAGACAGGAGGCATAGTCCCTGTCCTCATGGTTCCAGTAAGTCTAGATTCTTTCCAACAATGCAAAAAAAGGATTGAATAGCAGTTAATGGAATATCTAACGAAATGACATGGGGTGATCAAGAAAAAAAAAGTAAACTACAGTCTCAATAATGGAGGGCCATATACTACATTTAAGAAAAAAAAAACTTTGAAACTTGGAAACAGAAAGGGACGAGTAGACTGTCTTTATTGTGTCATATTTATAGCACTGTTTAACATACCTCCCATGGGTTATCGACTTATCTGAGGGAAAGTACCTTGGGGCTTTTTATTTATTATTGTCTAAAAGCCTAAACCCTGTGAAGTTATATACCAACTAAACTAAAATTGTTTCAGTGTAGTAGAAAAATAGCAAAGAATAACACTAGTTCCCCTCTACCACCCCTTCTGTCTGACCTACTCACAAGATTCTAGGTCTTTCTCCAAAGCCTGTGTCACCCTGCTTTTCTAACCCTCCTTTGAAGAAGCTTTACCATCCTCATGGATACTGCATCAATGAAGCAAGTGAATACCACATTTGCAGGAGTCAAGCTTTTAACTTTTGAATATCCTGCTTCTGCAGTTTGTTGATGGATTTTAAGAGCTGTTAAAATCATGAGCTGTTAAAATACAGAATGTAGTGATTTGGGACATGCTTACCACATAAAATGCAACATATAAAACTACATATGATATGTTTCCAGTTTGATTAACATATATTTATAGAAATACAAGAAGATCAGAGGGGGTAAAAATCCTAAATATTAATAGTAACCGTGGACCTTGGGGTTAGGGGTAATTTTGCTCCTTTTCCACTGCTCATTACCTCCCAGGTATTTTGCAGCCTGTCTACCTTGCTGAGTGGTCCCTGGGGTCTCAAAAGGCGCCTAGTGGCGCAGTGACTCACTTTCCTTGCCTTTCTTCACGTTTTTCTCCTATACAAGACTAACTCAGGCCTCCTGCTGGATTCTGGAGAGATGAATAGCACCAGGGTCCCTCTGTCTCCAGGAGCCACAGGCCACAGGAGAAAAGCCGCCTTCCCCGGGCTCGCTGTGAAGGCCCCGTGCCTCGGTTTCCCTTTCAGGAGGATGCTGGAATCGCCCTGAAGCTCGCAGGGTCCGGACTGGGCGGGGAAGCCGGTCCATCCTCCACCCCACCGAGCTCCCTGGGTGTGAAAACCCGATTGGTCCCCGCCACGCCGCGGTCTGAAGTCAGCCCAGCCAGCCCGCGGAACGCTGCGCTTTCCGGGGCGACGATGACAGAGCCTGGGCACCGCCCCAGGGACCGTTCCTCACGCAGCATCTGCGGACAGCCCCGAAGGACGGGCCCTGGAGACGCCGGTGTCTGGGAAACCACTCGCGCGGCACCATCGGCTTCCGAGCTGGAAGCGTGAGTCCCAGTCCCGGCGCGGCACCGCAGGGGAAACTGAGGCCGAGAGAGGGCGGGTGTGGAGGAGCGAGCGGAGAGGGCGCCCCGGCTCCCAGCGCGCACAGAGCCCTCTCTTTTGTAGGCTCCGGTTCCCCAACAGTGCGATGGGTGCGCCGGACTTCTCTTCACTCAGAGGGTCCGGCCTGCTCTGGGCTCCGAAGTGCAGGATCGGAGATGCCCACTGCGCCATCCTACCACTCACCGCTCCCGCCGCCTCCCGGGGCAGCCGGCTTCCACCCCGCCGGCGCGCGGAACCGGAGCGCGGTGCCCAGGGCGCTCAGGATGCTCCGGGCGCTGCTCCGCGGTGGCCGAAGGGATGGACGCGGCGGAGCGCAGAGCAGCGACCCTGAGAACCGAGCGACCCGAGCGGCGGAGAGAGCGGAAAACAGAGGAAGGAAGGAGGAAGGAAGGGGGACGGCGGCACCGGCTGCTCCCAGTCCCCCGATCCCCACCGCCTCCCGAGACGCGCGGCGTGGAAACAAAGCCGGGCTGCAGCGCTGGGGACGGCGGAGCGCAGGCCTCGGGGAGAAGCGGCGAGCGCAGGGATCCGGTCCCGGTCCCGGTCCCGACCTGGTCCCAGGCCACCTCGCCCACCCGCCTGGGTCCCCCTGCGCCCCGACACTTACTTCTCATCCAGCCCGGCTCCCGCACCGCCAGCGGCCGCAGGGGCTGCAGGGCGATAGCCAGCAAGCACAGCCGGGCGGCGCCGGCGCCCCCGGGCATCGCAGCGGCCCCTGTTTGGGCTCACAAGCCCTGTGCCATGCCCAGCCCAGCCCGCGCGGGGTCGAGCTTTTGCAGCCCACGGCCCGCCTAAGAGCACGGCGGCCGGGCTCCCGGCCCAATGCAGCGACGCCCCGCCCCGCCCCGCCGCGGGGCTGGGCCTGAGGATGGAGGAGGAGGGGGTGGGGGACTGGCCGGAGGAGCGGCGGGCCAAACCCCTGCGGGGAGCCGGGCCAAACCCACGCGGGAGACCCAGACGACTCCGGGGACCGGGAACTGGCGGGAAAGGGACTCCCGAGCATCGGGGAGGGAAAGAGGCACGGGCGGATGCGACCTGGAGAGGACTGGGTTTCTAAGGGTTAAACCGGACCCCTCGCTGCTCAGGGCTATTTTATCCCGTCCAGCACTGTTGTGGTTCCCCTGGGTGATGGGCGACTCAGCTATGCTATCCCCAGAGCCCCCCACTCTTGGAGGCAGGCACGAAAGAGTTAACCCAACCCCCAGTCTCAGAGCACTAAGTGCTCTATGGAGTTGTGTTTTTTTAAAAAGCAGGACACAAATCCGGGAGCCATTCCTTCTGTCTGAGACTGGGGAGGAGTTGGAGAAGATCAGAATCCCAGAGGAGAGGACATCTGAGCTTGGAGAAGCAGAAGGAGAACAGTAAAGGAGGAAACAGCCTGGACAAACGCACCAGGGTGTGAAAGCCCAAGGGAGGTGTGGGCGGAAAACCAGAATTCCCGGATAGTTAGGGTTGCAGGGATTGGGTGGAAACGATCAACCTAGAAGGAATAAAGACAATCACTTACTGAGGCTTTATTATCTCTAGAATAAGAAAATTATGATGCCTCCTCCGGCTGCCATAACAAAATACCACAGGCTGTAGGTTAAAGAGGAATTTATTGTCACACAGTCCTGGAAGCCAGAAGTCCAACATCCAGATGTCACCAGGGTTGGGGCCTGTGAGGCCTGTCTTCCCGGCCTGTAGATAACTGTCCCTCACATGGCCTGTCCTCTGCAGGCAGACAGCATACTTCTGCTATCTGAGCAGAACAGCCCCTTCCTTACCTTACGGTTTCATTTAACCTGTATCACATCCTCCTAGAACTCCATCTATAAATACAGTCACAGTGCGGGATAGGGTTTTAATATATAAATATGAGGAGACATAATTTAGGCCATAATATTCCATCCACTGCCCCAAAAATCATGTCCTTCTCACATGCAAAATGTACTCACCTTATCACAAGACCCTCAAAACTCCCTCCAGCACCTGTTCCTAATCCAGGGTCTCATTAAAGATAGCTAAATCAGGTGTGGAAAAGACACAGTATGAATCCTCTTGAGACAAAATTCCTCGCCACACGTGAAATCCTACAAGGTACCTGCTTCTAGATGACAGTCATGGAACATCCCACTATTCCAAAGAGGCCAAACAGAAAAGAATGGGATAACAGTTTGAGTCCAAAGTCTAGCCAAGCAAAGTCCTTTGTTTCTTAACACTCTATAAGCCTGTTTTACAGCACCTGCCTGGCGAGTGAAGGTCCTGAGTTCCATTCCAAGTACCAAAAATAGATTAAAACCAAATAAGCCTCTTTAGTCAGTCTGCCTTAAAGGTCCACTGGCACAGCCTGGCTAGAGCATCCATGGCTCTAGCCAGCAGCTTTGCCCTCACAGCTCAACCTCTGAGATGCTGGACAGAAAGGAGAGAGGACCCAACCTTCCGAAATAGCTTTGTGCCCTGTGTGGCAGACTTTATATCTCTGAAATGCCTGCCGGATCACTCTTCCCTTTTTTTGAAGGATAAAACAAGTTCGCAGGTGACTAGCTCTCTGGTTCTCTCCTATAGAACTCCGTAATTCTACAAATCGTCCTTTACTGTAGCCTGAGTCTGTTTCCTGTGGTCTGAGGTGTTGTGTCTTGGCCAGTACAATCCTTTCTCCACACCTGACTGATGCAATGGCAATCGCATAGAATATTTGTTCAAGCACGCTCTTGGCATTCTCTTCACATGCTGCTTTCTCATTTTTTGTAATATGAATAGGTTAAAAAGCATCCAAGTCTTCAAATCCTAGTTCCTTCAGTGCATCTCTCTCCTCTTATACTATACATAAGCAGAAAGGAGAAACCAAGATATACCTTCAACAATTTGCTTAGGAATCTCCACGGTTAAATACAGTGCAAGTTTGTCATGTGGCAATTTCTACTTTTGACAAAACTCTAGAACACAATTCAGTCATCATTTACTTTATAACAAGAATTATTTTCCCTGTGTTTCCAGTAACATGTTCCTCAATGCCACCTGAGCCCTCACTAGACTCACCTTTAACCTTGGAGGCTTAAACCTGGGTCCAGCAGACTTGGTCCATACATTTTTTCTGTAGATTTGTCTCTTACTGTTATAGTAAATGGCCTGAGTCTCAGTAATTTCCCTGAGGGATACAGGAAGCAATCTATGTGTTTACCAATTTGGTCTGATGAACAGCAAATAGTGTGCACATGACTAAGTGTCAATACAGGACTTGGACCCACCTTTATGCCTATGCGCTAACTGGTTTTGTGTATGTTTACCTGAGCATCACAGAGGATCCAATAGACCCACACTACTCCAGGATTTTTTCTTTGATTTTTCTCATAGAAGTAACTCATTTCAGTACAATTGCACATGAAAAACTAGATTTGCAAGTTTTGGAGAACATCAAAGATGAATCATCAAATTACTCATGCATGGATGATGGTGATTATCCATTATGGTAAAATACACGTTGCCATTAACAAAAGAGTGGTGCAGGCTGAGGATGATGATAATGTTGATGATGATGACAACTTTGACATTGGCCATGTGAGCCAAAGTTCTTGTGACAGTGAAATGGAACAAGAATGGACTGATACAGACACAGGGAATGCAGACCTCCTTGAGTCAGATGATGAAGAAAACAGCTATGTGAGTACAACTTTGACCAGTAAAAAATGTTGCAAAATGGCCACAAACAATCCGGTACTACAACTAGGTTTAACTAGGTCAGATAATATAGTGAAGGCCTTGGCAGGAGTGAAATATACTGAATAAAATGCCAACACTGCCATACAGTGTTGGAAACTGTAACAGGCAAAATGCTACAAGATGCTGTGAAATACACAGAATCTGAAATGCAAGTAAAATATTCCATCTGCACCAACAGCCATATTCATAAATGTATTTATTATGATACTTCACTAGGTGAATTTAAAGCATTCAGAGGTCTGCTGTACTCAGTAGAGATTTGCCATGGTGATCACAGTAATGTAAAAGACTTATGGAAAAGTGATGGATCAAAATATGGTATAAAAATTTATGCCCTTGTAAGTGCAAAGACTTATTATTCTTTCAAGTTACATATTTATCCTGGAAATCTACCATCAGGTCCTTTATCCTACAGTAATAACCAAACGATGTTGTGAACAGATTTGTTGCTCCCATCTCTCAAACTAATCAGAATGGGACATTGAATAAGTGGTTTACCATGTTATAATTTATGTTACATTTGCTAACAGAGCACAAGTTGACCAGTGCAGGAACGGTACCCAGGAACAAAGCAGAAATTCCAAATGAAATATTGCAAAATCAAAACAAAATTGTTTAGCACAATCTTTGAATTTCAGAACGATATAACACTGGGCTCCTACATAGCAAAGAAAAGCAAACTGTTACTGATTTAAACATTTCATCATGAGGGAAATATTGATAGGGAAATCTTGACAAAACAGAAGCGTGAGATGGAAACTTTCAACAACAAAACCAAACATGGAGCAGATGTTAAAGAGAAATGCAATGACTGTGATATCACTTGAAACACAAAGCATTAACCAATGGTTGTGTTTTACTTGATCCTAAACATGTGTGGCATAGTTTGATAGTTTACAAAGAAAATAAGTGAAAAAATATCACAAAGAAACTTTTATTAGAGGATTGGGACTAGAGCTCATAGGAGATCATTTGCAGCAGAGGAAACACAAAATATTTCTGCTCAAGGAACTATGTAAAAAAATTGTGGAGTACATTGGTGAGCTGACAGGTGAACAGGCAGGCACAGCACCACAAAGACCTATTACAACAGCAGGAAACCAAAAAAGATATCGTGTGGCCCACAAGAAAGCACAGGAAAACAAAATATATGTGTTATCAGTATAAGCAACATTTGTGTATGGAACATGCAGTTGTCATGTGTGAAGACTGTTTTGGGTGCGACAGTTGAAATAAAGCTTGTTTCTGTTGTAGACTTTTGTGCTTATCATATAGTTTTTATAGGTTTTTATTTTTGAGTTACTTTTTAAGTTTTGTAAGTTACCAATGTGAAACTACTGATGTCTGTTCTAAGCACTCATTACATATTTGATATTGTATTTTACTGACATCTTGTTTCCCTGGTAAATGTATGCTGTACAATACAGTAGGAAGCTCCTGAAAAAATAGGAAGAGAAGAGAGGTGACAAGACTGTCACATAGGAAAGGAAAGCTAAGCATGTGTACGGTCAGTGCAAGCAAGGTGTGTGCATGGAACATGCGGTTGTCATGTGTGAAGATGGCCGGGGGTGTGATGCTGAAGCAAATTGTATTTTTGATGTAGACTTCTACTGGTATTATGTTATCTTTTAGGTTTTGTAAGCAAGTACACAGCTGATGTATAAATGTCGATGTCTAGTCTAAACACACAATACATATTAAAAAATTAGTAATTTTATTGATATTTTATGTCCCTATCAACTACCCACTATGTAATACCATAAGAACCTCCTGAAAAACATCAAGTCTACTGAGATGTCAAATGTGTCCTACAAAAAGGCCAAGAAAGCAAAAGACATGTGCTATCAGTGTACATGATACGTGTATATGGGATGTACTATTGTCACATGTGCAGACTGCCTTAAGTATGGTCACTGAAGTGAAGGCTATTTTTTTTGTAGAGTACTATTGGTATTTTCATTATTGTTCATATGGGAATTTATTTCTTATGTTCTTTTTTAGACTGTATAAACCAAAATCTAGTTGATGTTAAAATTTTTGATGCTTTTTTATAAATACAGATTAAAAACTCAATACTTTATTTTTGTGATTTTTCCTGTTAAGTACTCATTAATATAATAAAATGCATAAAATTAAAATGAATAATTCATGAATAGAAATAGTCTGAAGAACAAACATGGATCTGGCAGACCCACGTTTATGTACCTTAATGACAAAATTAGTTTTATGCTCCAAGGGCTATATATTTCTACCACCATTATGCTCATGATAATATATGCTTTCTCCAAGACTACCAATGCTGCACATACCTGTAATCCCAGCACTTGGGAGGCTGAGGCAGAAAGATTGCTGTGAGTTTGAGGCCAACTTGTGCTACCTAGTGAGTCCAAGGCCAGCCTGAACTGCCTAGCAAGACCCTGTCTCAAAATAAATAAACTTCACCAAAACTACAAAAGCTTTCTCTACAATTCTCTTTTCCTCATTAGTCCTTTCTGGAAATGTCCTTATCTGCATTTCAATCAACAGTTCCTCCAAGGCAACCCAGACCCTGTCCTGTGTGTAGCTCCAAGCTCATCTGGCCTCCACTTATAGTTCCAAAGTCCCTTCCAAACTGTTACAGGAGCACACACTTCTCAGTAGTAAAATTTCTATTCATCTGCTGAGGATGCTGTAACAAAACACCACAAACTGGCTGGCTTAAACCAACAGAAATTTGTTTTCTGAATTGACTTATGTATTTATTTGTGGTCAAGGTCTCATATGGAGTTCAGAGA